CGTGCAGCCATAGGAGGCTTGGAGGGAGCACTGGGTGTGGCATGATGTGAGCAGGGCCTATGTTGTGCCACAAGCCCTTTCCCTTCTGCTCCACTTTTAAAGGCTGCAGGGGAAGGCAAATTATAGAATTTTGAGGGGTGTGAACAGAGTGGCCACTAGAACAGCTGTGAGATGCCCTTGAGGCCAATTATTTCAAAATAAGCACAGCTGACCCGTCCACAGTCACCCTATTTCGAAATAGCAATTTTGAAATAGGCATTACATTTCGTAGAATGAGGGGATATTATTCTGAAATAACAAGCGCATTATTTTGAAATAATTTCAAAATAACAGGCTTGCTGTGTGGATGCTCACCTTGTTATTTCAAAATAACAGGAGTTATTTATAGCTCAAGCTGGCTTTACAGTTCAAGCTGTAGAAGTACCTACAGTAAGCTCCAGAGGTCCCTGGTTCAAACCTGCTTGTCGGTGATTAAAACTAGAGCGGGTGGGCAGGCAGGCGGGGGGTTCATCCAAGATTGCACCTGAGTCTCTGGAGCTTAAGATGTGCTTCTTTAGCTATGGGAAGTATGTAATCCACAGACCTAGTGGGTGTGGTTCATTGTCTCATGTAGCAGCTCTTAGCCCACTTAGAGAAGGGAGTGTGCCAGCTGACTTTACAACTCAAGCTGTAGAGGATCCTACATTAAGGTGCCAGGTTCATATCTGCCTGATGGAGGTTACACATCTATGGCAAGAAACCAGTGAATGAAGGATGAAAAGCTTGTCTAAAAACTGAAGTTGTGCTGTTTTAGTTTAAATCAGTTGAATTAACCCAGTGCAACTTTTATGTGTGGACTGTTTTATATTGATTTAAAATGGATTCTATAAGTTTTGCTTGCACATTTTATATAAATAAGATTTAAAGTGATAGAAGTCTGTATACAATTGCACTGGCTTAAATAAGTTGGTATAAAATAACACTGTTGTTATATTGGTAACAACTTTGCAGACTAGCTTAAGGGAAAATCTTAACTGTGAATTTCCCTGTTCTTGTAAGAACTACCAAGATATTTAAGGTTACTTCAATATCGTTTTTGCATGTTTCTATTTTATTAAGAATCCTTGAATTAAGGAAATATTATATGAGAGTCTGAGACTTTTAGAATTGATATTATTTTCAACTTACATTACTATGGTGTATTAGAAAATAGTACTTACAAAATTAAATCATTGTAGGATAGGAAAAATCACCATTCTATTCAGAAACACTAAACAGGTTGAAACTCTGCAGTCTGGCCCCCTCAGGACCTGACTGAATCTAGATCAGAGAATTTGCTGAATCATGGGAGATCAATATTGTCTATCAGCATGCCGACACTTTCACTGCTTATTGGGCTCTTAAAAGACGGTTGGAGTAAATTAGAGCTAAATAATAGCACAGGACATTGAGAGCCAGGACTGATGGCTGTAAACAAACTTTATTGGACTGTGGGAAGGTTGACACACCCCTGATAAGCGGACATCCAGATAACTGAAATCATTCTGGACCACAGATGTTTCTGGCCCAGAGAGTGCTGGACTAGAGAGATTCAACGGCTGTTCAGCCGGTCGCCCCATTCACCAACGGTTCGCTCATGCGCAGTGCGGGGCTGGTGAGTAGTTTTTGCCGCGGTTTGTCAAGCCCTGATAATAACCATATCAGGCTCAGCAGTAAGCTACCTCTTTGTCCAGATTTAGATTCATCTTTAAAGGGTTTTATGTGATAATAATTTTTTAATTCCACTTGTTAAATAAACTTTATAGGTAATCTGGCATTTGCCCCATGTTCACATTCATAATAATGCACTGGTTGTTAGCAGAATTTAATAATGGGAACATGCATTGAAAGACCAAATACTTGCACATGAAACTTCATTCAGTATTGTATCAAGATAACCATGTCACATGGAAATCAACTAGTAGAGCAGCACTAGCTGACAGTTCAACTGAAAACTTACTCCTGAGTGAAATAAACTCAGAGGCTGCGTCTAGACTGGCATGATTTTGCGGAAATACTTTTAACGGAAAAGTTTTTCCATTAAAAGTATTTCCTCAAAAGAGCGTCTAGATTGGCACTGATGCTTTTGTGCAAAAGTGCTTTTGTGCAAAAGCATCCGTGCCCATTATAGACGTGCTTTTGCGAAAGAAAGCTCCAATGGCCATTTTAGCCATCGGGCTTTCTTGCACAAAAAATTAAGGTGCCTGTCTACACTGGCCCTCTCGCACAAGTATTCTTGCACAAGAGTGTTTATCCCTGAGCGGGAGCATCAAAGTATTTGCTCAAAAAGCACTGAATTCTTACATTAGAATATCAGTGCTCTTGCGCAAATTCAAGCAGCCAGTGTAGACAGCTGGCAAGTTTTTGTGCAAAAGCAGCCACTTTTACGCAAAATCTTGCCAGTCTAGACGCACCCAACCTGTATATAGTTCATTGTGCTGGTGGAACTTAGTTTACATGAGTTCAAATTGTGAATTGGCTTGTACATGTCTGCCACACTCTCTATTGGATTTAAACATAACTGTTCAGCTGCATAAAATCTAATGTAAGGTGGACCCTACTGAAACCATGGTCTTTTCATTTATTTTAGTGTGGCAGAAACTAATGTTTTGAGGAGAAACAATAACTTTAGTTTTGCATTATTCATTCCACATAGGAGACAGGTGGCAACAGGAACTGCTACGGAAAACAACTTAACAGGGCAGCTTTTGTTGCTTTAGTTAGTATGGAGAAAATTAGCAGCAGAGGGGATTAAGAATGAAATTCTCTCTCACCAAAGAGCAGCTATTGTCCATCCCATTTTAACATTTTTCTCCACTTAAGCTCAACCTGGAGTCAGACCAGGGGTAATGTTCAAAAAGCTCCATTTGTGTCAGCAACATTTGGGAGTCATAGTGCCTGATCTTCTGATGTCCTGCGTGTAGTCATTGTGGGTACAGGCTAAAGTTGAATTAAGCTACACTACTTCATCTACGTCAATTGTGTATTTTAATTCTGAACAGCTCAACTCAGATTTAGGCACAGTCTACACAGAAAGAAGTCGAAGGAAGAACACTCTTACTCCAACTTTCCTTACCCCTCATGAAATGAGGGTTACAGAGTCAGGGTAAGAAATCCTTCAGCATTATTATTTAGAAATATAGGCTTGTAGAGTAGATGTGCTCTGTGTTATTTCCGAATAACGTCATTTATTCTGAAATAACGCTGCTGTGTAGATGCACCCTGTGAGTGCAACATAAACCTCCTTTGGTCTTTGTGCTGGTGAAAACTGTTCAAGGTTCAGGGCAATGAAAAATACAATCCATCTTGTAGAGAGGGCTTCTGTGGCTGCCCGTGTCATAAGCACTGTGTCCATAAGACCTACTCAGATGCACGTTAGATGATCTGGGCAATCCCCCTGGAGCAAGCCTCACTCTGCTTCCCCCTACCCTACGCCTGCACCCCACCCTTTCCCCACCCCCTTGCCCATAGACTACTCCCCCAACAAGGCCAACTGGGTGATTACTAGGGAGCCTGGCTCAGGGCAGCAGCACAGGGTTGGTCTCCTCTCTGTCTCCCAGCAGCCTGTTCTGCTCCATTCTACCACCCTTTCCCAGTCCACTGTGCTCTGCTTCACTTCGGGGGTGAGAAGTGTTGCACCCTGAGGCCAAGGTGCTCTGCTTCCTGCTGCCACAGTGAAGTGGATCACAGCAGGTTGGGCAAGAGTGTGAGGGCAGGGTGGGGTGGAGCAGAGTAGGTTGCCAGGTTGCTCCAGCTCCTTCCACCATAGTGAATGAGAGGGCACCTTGACTGTCACCCTGCACTAGGTCCTCCCTCCACAGGTAATCCCCGAGGCCACCCTGGACAGGACAGCTCTGTCTGAAAATATTTATCTCTACATCCGCAGCTGCAGATACCTGAGTATATTAAATAGATAATTGCAAATCTGCAGGATTTCTAGATACAACTTTTGTATCTGTATCCACAAAAATGAGCTGCAGATATCCACATTCACATCTACAGATGTAGAAACCTGTAGATATAAAGCAGATATCTGCTGACATAAAGGGTACTAACCGTCTCGCCACTGGGAGGGGCAGGACCTGAGCCAGTGAAGAAAAGCATTTCTCTGGGGGGCAAAGATCAGGACAAATGTAGGATAGCCTCTGACTGAGCACAGAGCCAATGAGTGGAAGCATCACCCTGAGGACAAAGGGTGGGCGCCAACTGGAGAAGAAACGGCTCTCTAAAGGCAGAGGGAAAGCCAGTGGGCATCTCCCTTAGGGCAAGAGCCAAGAGCAACAGGAGGACAGCATCTCTCAGAGGAAGGCAGCAGACCAGTGAGTGAACAGCATCTCCCTATGGGCATAGGACCAGTGGGCAGACAGCATGTCTCAGGGCAGGGGCAGGCAAAATAAAGCCCACAGGCCAGATCAGACCTACTAAACCTCTGCATCCAGCCCAAGGGAGTCTTTCCCGGGCACCCTGCCTGCCAGCCTGCTCCTGCGCACTGCTCAGCGCAGCTCTGAGCCCTGCACGCCCAGAGAAATGGGGAGAGACGCTGCACGCACAGCTCCTCCCACTGGCAGGGGGCGGGGCCCATGGGCCTGCCCCTCC